TCACCCTTCTTAGTAACCATAAACCACTGCTGGCAATCTTTGGATCAAAGTCAGGCATCGCGGTCTACACAGCGAACAGACTGCAACGTTAGACTACTACATTACTGGGTTATGACTTTGAGGTCAAGCACATTTCCACAAAAAACATAGGTCAGGCTGATGCGTCTTCTCGTATATTGGAAAATCGGCAACCTCAGAAAGAGGACTCCATCATCACAGCGATATATTTAAAGTCAGAAGTAAAGGAAGTGCTAGTAGAGACCCTCAGAAAGATTACGATTACTTTCGAAATCGGAATTCAACAAGCGATCAAACACCACACTACCCAGTGGCCGAGAGATAAGCTTATAGGTGAGTTAGATAAGTTGTTCCTAAGAAAAGACAAACTATCAGTCGTTAATGGATGGTTGCTTTTAGCTGCTCGATTAGTCATTCCGGCGGAATTTCGCCCACGAATTCTACGACAATTCCATCGAGGTCATACTGGTATTAGAAGAAAATGATTGCACGAAGTTTTGTTTATCAGCCAAACACCGAAGCGGAGCTCGAGAACTTGATGAAGACATGTCCAAAATGCGCGCTTGTTAGTAAGTCCCCTCGGAAAAAAGAATTTCCTTTTCGGTCATCAACAACGAAACCCTGGGAACGCATACATGCTGATCTCGTTGGTCATGTCAATGGACAGCAGTTCCTCATCGTTGTGGATTATTACAGTAAATGGCCTGAAGTTTTCCGAATGGTGAAGGCTACCAGTGGTGCAACCTGCCAGCATGGAAAACCGGGGACTCTGGTCAATGACAATTTAATTCCTAACAATTTTCCGAATACTGCTCGCAGGTTAGTAGTACACATTTGCGTTCACCCCCAATCCAATGAACAAGCGGAACGTTTCATTGACACGTGGGGAGAGGGAACCACACAAGATATTGGATATTCTCATGGTTATGTATAGATAAGTCCCAAACGCTCAGGTGCCAAACAACGTGTCACTCGCAGAGGCTCACATGGGAAGGAAAATTCTCACTGTTAACTCCTTGATACTGCCGGGAAGCATTATGCCACCAGAGTGAAGTGTAAAAGTGAAGATATTATAATCAACGAAGTAGAACCCAAGAACGTCATGTATACACAGGACACCTTGGTTAGTGATTATCGCATGGGTAAGCCGCTATGGGCAACGGGCTCGATTCAGAGCATAACAGGAACGGCGATCTACAAAGTCAAAGTAGGTGATTTAATTTGGACTAGACATGCAAGTCAGTTGATACCTGCTACTATTCGAGAGAGCACAGGTAACCAATTTTCGCCACTTGATCTTCTCATGAATCGTTTCGATATACACCAAAGAACTCCGCGCGTGTTTAATGAGGAGTGCGCAACAGCTTCGGGAGGAAGGAATTTGCAACTAAGACGTTGTACTGATAGGATCCGGAGGCCAATTAGGAGTCTACAGGTAAACCCACATAAAGTTCCGTATGAATAACAGTTCTTTTGCGGAAGGTGTAGTCATAACGGAACATTGAGACGCGAAATGTCGAGGAATTGTACCTTGGCTGGTGCCAAGAGAATTGTTTGGGATTTTTGTAACTACGCATAAAAACGGAACAGTAAATTGGTCAGAAATCAAGTGTGTCGTTTTACACCACAAAACCATGCTTTGTGTCAGAACAATTCCTGCATACAATCCGAATACTGTGTTTTTGTGCTGTGATGCATTTGTTCGTCGCCTGTTTCATACAAAACCCACAGCACTCGTGCTTCCGGGGTCCTAAATGTGTATTCGACTGTATAGCAACTGGGTCTGATGTGTTTTCCTCCTCATTTCGCCCAGTCTTTTGTTTACTGTATCAATACACCCCTGGTATGGTTTTCGTATGTATGTATGTTCAGTCACCGGCTATCAACGGGTGCGAAACCCATATTTGTGGGTTAGGCTTTTCGGCCAAAGGCTCGGAGCTGTGGTCCCCTAAGACAACCCACCTACTTCGGCCTAGGCAACCGGGTAGTATCTCGCTTAATGATGAACCATGGATACACACAACCACGCTCTCCCTTGCTCTCATGATCCTCTGTCCTACGACTAAGTCACCTTTATAAACACAGGCCACCAATTTACATACTCTTTCCTTGTATCATTAATCACCATCGTTACTTAATTCTTCAACTGTGAACAACCCTACCTCCGCCGATGAAGTTGTTCTCTCGCCACCTGTCAACTCAACAATCCACTTATCTTCGCCATTCTGACGACGCTGAGTCCGCCGCATCTGGGCAAGCTTGTGTTGGAATCGCCCTCAGTGTTAGAGCCGAGACCGCCCTCCTTAATTGGATTCCAGTCAACAGTCGACTATGCGCTGTGAGGCTCCGTGGCTCTATTAAGGTTAGCAGGCATCGCGCAGCCAAGCGTGCACTTTTCGTGATCGCCTACGCGCCCACTGACTGCGGCTCAGATGCAGTCAAGGATCAGTTCTATCAATATCTTCATGAGCTGCTCATAATGGCACCTGAAACACGTCGTTGTTATGACGGGACACTTAAACACACGTACTGGTCGGATGTTGTCATGTGAGCGTCACTTCGATGGACCGCACAGGTATGATGACGGTTCGCTCTGACAACGGAGAGACTGCTCAGTCTTTGTGCTGACTACCAACTTTTCCTCTCTACTACGAGCTTTCGTCATCCTTAACGCCACTATGCCACCTGGCGTCCACCATCGTCAACCCAGCGCTGGTCACAAATTGATCACATAGCCATAAGTCGCAGGTGGCGCGGCAGCGTACGCGATTGTCTATCCCTTTGATCAACTTATGTTGACACCGAACGTGCATTGGTGTGTGCGATAAGTTGTATGCGTTTCGGCGGTTCACCCAGGGTCAAGCAAATCCGACTCAACAACCACAAGTTGGAGAAGGCAACAGTATCAACAGAGGCTTCGCGGAAATCTCGCTCTAACCCATGCTCTGGATATTGAACAACACTGGTCAAATTTAAAAAAAGCAATGCTGCCCGCCGGCTTGTCTAGCTGCGGACTCACCCGCTGCACAACCACATGCTGGATTTCGGTAACATCCACGAAATTGCTAGATCGTCCACGGGCTGTGCCCACATGTGAGGAGCACGATGAACTTCGTCGGTCTATCTCACAACAGCTGAAGTCAAGTCTTCAGCTGTTGTGACCCTGAATCCTGGTGGTCAAAACGAGCTGCTGTGATGGAGGTCGTTGCATCGGTTGACAACTTCCGCAGGTTATTTTACCTCCTCAACACCACTGGCTGCAATTCACACGCTGTCGCTCAGACGATTTGTGAGTCGGACGGCACGAAAATCACTAACTTGCACAGGCGCTTGGGCCGCTGGGCAGAGCACTTTGCTTTCCAACTTAAATGGTCAGCACAGCCCACTGTGACACCTACGTTTCCCTCGGATGGTGCTTGGACTATCGACACGGATGCCGAAACAGAGATGGGAAGCACGATCCAATCTTTGAAGCGTCATAAAGTTCACAGTCCCGGCTCTATTCAAAGATGGCAGGAATGAACTTGTCAAGGAAATGCTACCGCTGTTTAAGAGAGTTTGGACTGACGACAAAGTCACAATTGCATGGGGAGAATCGGTCATTGTCCCGATTCACAAGTAAAGCTCCCGCGAGGATTGCGCCAAGTACCGCGGAATTTCGTTGATCTCTGTTGCCTCCAAGATTTTTATGTCTGTTCTACTCTGCAGGCTTTCAGCGACTAGAGGTGTTTACCGAGAGGAACAAGCAGATTTCCGTCCAGGTCCAGGTAACACTGACCACATCTTCACACTGCACCAATTGCTTGAATTCCGTCACGTCCACCGGTGGCCAACAATCGTAGTGTTCTTGGACATCCGAGCGGCTTTTGACTCAGTAGATAGACCTGCGTTGTGGAATTGTCTACTGAAGAAAAGTGTGCCTGACAAGTTTGTAAACATCTTGAAGGAACTCTACAGTCACCCGTCGGGCAAAGTCAGGGCTTACGGCACATTTTCTACTTCATTTTTTGTCACCAGTGGCGAGCGCCCAGGTTGCCCCATCACACCTATTCTCTTCAACGTAACTACGGATGTCGTCCAAAGAGCATTGGAAGGCTCTAAAAACAGCGGTATTGAGCTTCCCCCAGGTAACAGAGTCGAGTACTTGGACTACGCCGATGGCATCGCTTTGCTCGGGAACGATCCACAAGCCGTCCAGAGCGTTCTGGGCCACATAGCAACTGAGGTATCAAAATATGGCGATTGGAAAAGTGCCGCGTTGGACAACCAATGACGTGGAGAAGGAGCATGAAGAATGCAACCTCAAGCTTAGCATCCGTTGGACCGGTACACATTCCAGGATGGGGAGCACGCGATTCGGACTGCCAGTGGTTGGAAATGTTGGATGGTATGGCGCGCAACAGGCAACATCGGAGACAGTGCTGTCCAACCGTGTTATCAATTTGTTAACGTATCTAACATAAAACTCCAAAACACGCAAAAATCCCAAAATGGCGAGCGTAAAACCGAGAAAAACGTTTTCTTCATGTTGTATTCCGTTTCTCCCCTTATTTCCCCATGGTTCAGATGGCACATCATCTGTAATCAGATTATGAATATATATATATATATATATTTATATATATATATATATATATATATATATATATATATAGAATTATGCTAAACGCAGGCAAACACAGTTGGCTGCAATGAGTAGTTGTTAAGTGTGTAAGTCCAGGGGTATAGGATCCTAATCTCGCAAATATTCGGTGGAGGTTCAGATCTATCAAATAAATAAATGGATAACTAGTTTATTCTCGGCAGTGCGAGGCACCCCTGTACTGAAAGTAACACTCGAGTGCGGCGAATGCGTATTTGGAGAAGTGGTAAAGAAAGAAAGCACGCAGTCTAGTGTTAAGGTAATATCATACGTAGGGGACTATGTAAAATTAAAATAGAAAAACAGGAGATGTTAAATATCATGAGCACTGCATACCCACCAGAGAAGCGCATAGAGAGGCGTTGTCCAAAATCCAAAGTATATGCTCTTCTGGGCGCAAACATCCGTTTTCGCAAAGCAAATGCCCCGTAAATCCGTGATCAAAGCAGAGCGTATTCTGTTCAAAAAATATCTGTCGCCTACGACTAACGGTGTATAAGTTGCACGGACCCAATGCTTTGTCCTGTGTAACACTGATATTGCAGAGGGTTCGGAGTAGGTAATGGTGATTCGGTAAAACCGGACTGTGCGTAAGAAATCGGCCCGGTATTTCAATTAACATCTGGTCTGATTCCGCGGAAAATAGACGAAGGATCCACTGTCCGAAATCAGGCCAGGCGCTGGATGCCACCAGAGCTTGAGGTACCGCTTGACGGACCAAGCGAGATGGTTCATCGATAAGACCTAAATTAGAGAAACAGCATCAGGACTAGGCAGTCCATACGAAGAAATGAATTCTATATGGAAACAGGAAAGGTTTACCTGTGACGAAGAATTCATGATGATGGACACTTGTAGCACAGTGGGTCAGGCATGGGATTGTGGATATGTGTCGAAGATGCGGTATCTAAAATCGGTTGTGTTACCTCACAACCAGCGAAAAGCGGCGCATAACAAGTGACCTAAGAGCAGCCGAAACAGATTCAGTTTGCAATAAACCACAACCGAGACCAGTATCCACATAAAGTATGAGCCTAATAACTGGCAAATAATTGGAACTAAAGCGTTTCGGCTACATTACTCGATTAATATAAAAATACATGCTAAAACATAAGAAAGGTTAAGATCTATGAAACCAATGACAGCATTGTGAGCATCCTTAGGACTCGACTGCCTCGGAGTAGAAAAAGAAACAGAGAAAACGAGCTAAGCGTGAACAAAGAGGCGAAAAGTACGAGTGCAGTAGTGCGACTTGAAAACGATTGTGCACAAGGCGAATGTGTGGTAACATAAAGTAGCAAAGGCCAAGGACAGAGTATGGAAGATAGAACGACTGGGCGTGATGAAAGTAAACGAAAGGTGCGTACATATCGCCGCGAGATTCAGTTGGATGGTCTTGGTTGGATGATGAAGGTAAATCAGGCCTTTGGCAAATGCCTCGGCAAGACTGGCACAAGAAGTTGGGTTGAAATCGCCTGATGAGAAGACGAGCTGATCCGCCTTCTCCCAGTCTGGACTGCCACTGCGTAACGAAAAGGTGCAAAGAGAAAAAGTGCAGAGAGAAACAGAATAATTTTACTAAGCAAGTGGGATAACTGTTAGTCAATATTGCGTGAACAGTGATAAATGTGATGATAGTCTAGGTACGAAAAATAGACAAAAGTAAAAATTTCACGTTTTTACGTAAATTCCATTAATGGACAACAAATAACGGATTAATATAAAATATAACTGGCAGAAACTCGTGAAAAAGAGCAAATCAACAGTTTTCCTCGAAAATGACATGCAACGCTCTGAGCTGATTTCGGAGTTCAGCGGCAGACACAAAACTGGAGATCTGACAATCGTCGTGCTTTTTACGTGAAGTCTCGACTAATCTCGGATTAGTGTACACCGTTCAGTTCATCTGAGTGTGCTCCATCCAAATCTGAAAAAAGTTTGGAGGGACATCTAACAGTTTTAGTGAAAATGGTGCAAATCCTTTTCAACCATCGAACACAGTCAAACTTAAGCGCACAAATTAATCGCTTCAAAACCAACAAGACTAATTTTAGTCTTATTTGCAATATCACTCTGAGGGCCCTCTAACAATCCCACATGCAACTCTTTCGGCTGCTGTACAAAGCAGTTATTGGGAAATTTGCCACCACTCATATGGTCACTGTTCCATTGTTTACAATCCAACTACACTTGAAACCCACCCAAATCTCGTATTCACCGAGACCAGATCAATAAGCACGTGTACACGGCCCCAGCGTCCACTCGTGCTTAATCTCGTCGCCCACACTGGACTTTGTGGAGGACAGTATGGTTGGCGGCATCCGGTTTCGGATTTGCCTGTCACTGTGGCAAGCCACATGACGCCTGCGCATACAGAGGGACCACAGGTGGTTTGCGCTGCACCACCTACAGCTCCATCCACACACCCCATATCCAGTGTAAACCCGAAGGAATAACACCGGGAGGCATGTGGATGGGAGCCACGTTTCATCAACGGAGCCGGCCCATACTCCTTCCCAGACAAACACAAGCACGCTGTATTTGGGGAATCAAGTGCACACAAGGCGGTGGCTGGACCGTAGTCCGCTCCACACTGACTGCATGGAATCACTATTCGAGCCTAGCACGACCACAAGGACCGTGCACCCTGTCCCCTCCAGCAATGACCAACTGTCTTCTGGAGCCAGATGGACGAGGTATTGAGTAATAGACAGGTAGGCACCTTGTCAACATACACATTAAGCGCAGCCACACCTGGAATGTCAAACAACATTCAATCACTCAAAATGCCGATATCGAATAAAGTAAACGCATATGACGACAAAAATACTCGCTAAATGAGCATTCAGAAGAAATTGGTTATAGGCGGATCAGTGATAAGTACAAAATGTCCGAGTCAGTTAAAAAATACCAAGCGATACAATTACGCAAGTTTACCACCATTTGCAAGTTGGGAGAAGATTATCAAGTACGCAGAACAAACCAAATAAAATGTAATGAATTTTATCCACATCAAAAAGACCTAGTTTAAGTGTAAGTTGGTTTAGCCCAACTGAGGTGAAGAAGCATCATGGATGCAACATCAGCCTCAGCATGCGGACAGTATACGTGAAGTAAAAACACTGCCTGACCCACACTTGTCCGGGCATTTGCAGGACTGAAAACGTTACTCTGACCCCAACGAGTCGCACTTCAAAAAGGATGGTTAAACTCTCGTCACCCACATTGTTCCGTCAAAGACGTACACCGGACTTGGAGGAAAGGCAACTGACCAAAATAAGTGAGGAAATCGGACGGTATAAAATTGAAACCGGTGAGTTTCGGCGTTTGTGTTACCATTAGGTTGGTCAATCAGGATTCCATCGGTTGTTGTTTCTCTCCTATTAATCCTACCTTAGAGTAGCACCACATTTGGTTCATTTCCTATTCTGTAATAGAATTCTTTTTTTACATCTTTAAGTTTTCACAGCTGCTATTCGAGGTTAGCTTTGCCATCTGATTTCTCTCTTTATCATGGCGAGAAAACCATCTGTTCCGAAGAAAAAACAACGGCAAGCGTCAGGTAGCCAGCCGTAAGCTCGGTATACAAAAATATTCGAATTATCCTGACCAAAAGCGGATTTGGCTGTGGGGGACTGCATGGAAAATAGCAGGAACCGGCTAAGGAGAGCTGGTAAAAATAAGAACATCGCTCCACTCCAGACACTTGAAATTGCAACCAAAATCCACAATCTAGAAAGTGAGGTAACCGTATTAAACGAAAAGCTCAAAAAAGTCAGTCAAGAACTAGATAAACTGACATCAATATCATACTTAGTGAATGTAATTGATAATACGAATGCAAAGCACTAGCAAGCAGCAGCATCGATCTTTTCGTCGCTAACCACGGAGATCCGTGAAAGGATAAACAAGGGTAGAAACCTTGTCATCGTTCATATACTAGACAAAAAAGCATCTGGAAACTGTGAAGCGTCTTACTCAATGCGAATAGTATGAGTGAAACACTGTCACCTTATACGGATAAAAAAGCAAACCCTAAGTACGCGTGCCCAATCCCATTAAACTGTACAGAAAAAACCGATGCCCAACTATATCACAAGGGAAGGAGTTTAATAGTTGCCAACAATGATGTCAAGCGTACCATGACCAAACTAGATCAAACGCAACTTCAGAGGTAAATAAGGGTAAATGAGGAGGGATACATGCCAAAGCTACTCCCAGTAATAATGTTAGTCATCAAAAAGATACAGAAGACAAAAAACAACATACCGTAGATTTGGACTTCAAATTGTGCGAGTTTTGTACTAAAGTTAAAGTTCAGATTGCCCAATGCCTTCGACCACGAATAAAACATAAGAGAAGTCGAGCAAATCTAGTGCCCGTAGTTCTTCTCAAACGAACAATAATAATCCGGGCATTGTAAAAAAACAGTGTTAACGCTTCAGCGACCGCAGAAATCAGAGATTTTCAATACCATTTCTCGATTGATTTCAGCCTAAACGCAATGTGGTTAATCTTTTACTCATCATCTTTCATCCGTAACACAGATAATGTTATCCAATACCCATCTAAATTTAATCCAGCTGTGGGCCTGATGTGAGCGGTGTCCAAATTTCAGGCTGCCCCGTATGAGAGACCTTAGGTACGTGTGGGTTGTATTAGTGGTGCAGAAATTTCGGAGGCATTAGGCCCAATGACCTGAGCGGAACAACGTGTTGGCCAACACGACAAACGGCGGAGATCACACGCGTTTGGCATACGGGAGGTGAAAGTTTAGTTCCAAAATGTCAGGTGATGCGTCTGCCTTATTAGTGGAAACGCTCATATGGTTCCGATAGACCGTCTCTGGTCAGCGGAGTTGTCACTTCTGCTTTCCCCCAGCTGGGTTGCACGGGAACCGCACGCAGCAGGCAAGGTGAAAAGAAAATGCTCCTCATAGTTCACTTACCAGGTTTGTCTCTGATATGATTCATATAGTTTTTTAACCTTTAGATCACACTACGTGCGATGGGAAGAAGAAGAACGTACGCCCGACATTCGTCCGATGTAAAGGTTCTTATCCTGTAGACACACGAAGAGGACAGCGACTGGTAGGACGTTGCAGCTCTTACAAGTAAATGTGAAGATACGTACAAGCTAGATAAGAACACTGGAATTGAATTAGCCGACTAGACATGGTAGTGTGTCGCGTCGAAGGTGTCTGTCAGATTGTCACGTGGATTGCCTGAGGGAGTGGGTGGAATCGGACCCTACGGTTACCTTGGAAACTCTTCGGTTACGACTGAAGGTGAATTTCGAGGTGGACGTGAGCATCAGCACAATCGCTCGCTATCTAGACGGAGGACTCATGATATTGAAGAAACTACATGCATAACCGGAATCCATGAATACGATGGATAGCAAAAGGCTAAGGAAGGCGTACGTGTTGAAGTTGATGAACTTGGAGGCAGAAGGACGGTGAGCGGTATGAACAGATGAGACGAACTTTGATCCGCTCTGCGCTCGCACAAGAGGACGTTCAGTACTTAGCATTCGTGCGCAGTGTACACATGGATTGCTCGGATATTCTGTCCTAAGGGGAAGTTATAATAAAGAAAGATGTGCGCGGTGGTTGCGGCTACTGCTTGATACCAATGGCATCCATTTCGCCGAAAGCTGTCTCCTTATTTGTGATAACGCACTCTGTCACACCGATATAGAGCATATCTTCCAAGAGGAGCCTTACAGCTCAGGAAGACTTCTACGACTGGCACCGTACTCACCGCAACTGAACCCACTCGAAGGCATTCGGAGTATCATTAAGGCGGCGATATTCCGAAATGCTCCGATGGGATCCGGATTATGTACTGAGCAAGACTGAATGGAGGATGCAGTTTGTTGATCAGGTTGTTGCAGAAGCACGTGCCTGCGTGACGCTGCATCCCGGTCAACAAATGGTGCAGCATGTACGAAATAACTATAGATGTGATTTGCATCTACTCGGTCTGTAACGTGTTCAACACCACTGATATATTTAATGTTAACATTCACTGACGTTTTTCTTTGAAAGCACTGTGGGGCCACCCCGAGTGGCGTACACCGTGGCTTTCAGTTGGAATTACCTCTGGCTCTGCGAAGGTTCACTCGGGATAGCAATAGTTACTGCAAACTACGATTACAGTAGGTTCTCGTTGAAGTGATAGACCACGTGTTGTTAAGAGGTCGTTATGTGGTACATTGAGAGCTCCCGATAATGCGAAGACATGTCAAATGCCGATCCAACTAACTTAGGCAAAATTGTACACGTTCCTGGGTGTATGTCATAGATACTGGTTACCATAGGCGTTCGTGATTTGCTGTATGATCAATGCATACGACCCGGCCGAGAGTCCCTCCATCAAAGTGGGCTATGGTCAAAGTTCATCTGATGTTGACCGGCACTCCGCCTAGAGGAATGTGGCCACCAGCTCACCAACGCAGGGCGAGACTGGCGACAAACTCGGTCTGTTCACACATACTGGGTTTTTGCCGCCTAATTGCCAA